TAATCCTAAGGGTACGACCCTCATGAACCGTCAGAGGATCCGTCTTCACATAAAAGTATTTCTTTCTCCAGTCATCGTCGCTACCGGAGAACTTGAAAAGACCCAGCTTGGGTCGACAAGGCAGATAGTAGGTACCGCTGCCACCTTCCTTTGAAGCGCTCTCCTTGATCGTATAGAGGCTCATCAGGTCACGAATACCAACGGCAACCCCCTCTTCTCCAGCCCTAGTGATAAAACCATTTATCACTCGGATTACCGAAGGACAGAGCTGGGAAAGGGCTAATTGGTAGTGATCTAGGAGATCCAACAAGAGATCGGGAAGTGGGAACCTGAGATGACATTTGGTAATGTACTTCTCATGAACACAGAACCATCCCTCTGGAGCAGTTTCCGGGGTCTCATCGGATTTACAAGCCTTTGTTAAATCTTTTGAACCTCCAGCTTGAACCATGAGATTGACCACATCCTGGCCCTTTAAAGAGGAAGCCACATGAGAACCAAGAGGGACACTTCCACTCGAGCCATCGTTCTTCTTAGTTCGTTTCGAGACTCTTGTGGCTATCGATTCCTTAACCTTCTTACTCCTCTCGTTCTTCTTCATCGTTTAGCCGATCTCCTGTTTAACCTTCATAAGCCGGACACCGGAGGAATAAATTTCAGTGTCTCCGGTACCTTCCTTAGGTCGCGTCATGTTAACCGAGAAAGGAGCCGAAGGATAGAATGAGAGCGAAAAAGAAATTCGGATTGAAACTAGAACTTTCGAATCAAGAGGGTTCCAGAAATAGTGACGAAAACAAGATAAAAAAAAAATAATCTAACCACTATAAGTTAAAAGAGGAAATTGGACAGTTACCTAGGAAACCGAATCGAGGCGTGGAGTAATGGTGAAAGCTGCAGTTAATGACTACAGCTTTATATCACATCGTGTCTCGAAAATCGGGGACGAAACTGTTCAAATATATTAACACGAGCCGTAGATCTTACCAAACAAAATCGGGACCGTCCGATTAAGGTCACGCGTATCTTCAAGTTTAATATAAAATAATTGTTATCTCAACAAGAGGTAGATATCAGGCGGCTAAGCTTTAGCTTCCGAGAAAAGAGGTCTCATCTCGAAAGCTGGGGGCAACTTTTGGGCCCAAATATGACCTGTTAGCTGAAGATGACAGGCCTGAATAAGAATAACCGATAATGGGCCCTTATGAAGCCCATTAGCAATTACATCTCGAGATGAGAGTTAGAAAGAAGCCGGAGGCTGTTTGCTAAGGAAAGAACGCCATGAAAACAGGTCACGGAGGAGAGCTCCGGACCTCATTTGCGAAGAGCCAACGGGAGAAGCTCAGGCTGGTTGCGCAGGACCCGGTCAAAAGGAGGCTGTTGAGAATCCCCCAACTCACGGAGCAAATCTCGGAGGTTGGTTAGGATCAATCAAACGTGGCTTGAGGCTATTTAAAGAGGAGCAAGATGAAGAAGAAGGGGACCTTCGGAACTCATTTTTGGAGACCTAAAGACTTAGACATTTTTCTTTCACTATAATTATCTCAATTCGTCATTTGTACTTTTGATCATCAAGTTCATTTTTGTAAACTCATTTTCTTATCAAAATCAATATAAACAAACGTATTCATTCACACAAGTTCCAACAGGATTCAGCCCACGATTGTCTTTTCCCCAATCTAAACCTAACCTAAACTAGAGAGTGAGTTTTATCCCTCACAGTAACCCGATATGCGGAGAGCGAGTGCCTTGCCTGGTTCCAAGCAAATGAGCAGGAGACTGTGTCACCACAAGAAAACAGAGATGCTGAAAGTGAGGTCATAAGCCTACGAGATATCTGCATGGTAGATGGTTCTTGGACCTCTACAGACCAGTTCTCAGGTTGTGGTTGGGATTGGATGGATAGCATGGGAAATAGCCAGCTGATGGGCATGCGTAATGTTAATAGGGTGGAGTCGGCTTTGCATTCTGAGCTGGAAGCACTGCGGTGAGCAATGGAGAACATGCTTCAACATTCGCCATGTCAGAGCTTTGGGACGGATTGCAAGGAATTGATAGCGATGCTCACAAACCCCCATGGATGGCCAAGCTTTTCGACGGAACTAGAGAGGCTCTTAACGCTGCGGATTTGCTTTCCAGATTTCACGATCGTTTATGTACCTAGGTCCCAAAATGCTGTGTCCGATCATTTAGCTAAGACTGCACGATCTTTCTATTGTGATCTGATGTATGTTGATTGTTCTATTCCGGTCTGGATTCCCAAACCACCTCAAGCTTGAGTAATGAATCTGCCTTTTGATGTCAAAAAAAAAAAAAGGAACCTGACATTCGAATCTACGGTACAATAGACTGCGTCAGATCCCTTCAGATATTTGCGGGCCTGTGGAAGAGCCCAGATATATCAGTGTAGTGTCAAACACTTCCTCCTCTCTTTGAATCAAGCATTTCACTCACCATTATAATGTTTGGCAAATCTCCAAAATAACACTTTTCTAAATTTATATCATAAAAATAACATTCAAAAACCAAAATGACCAAAATAACATTTTATCTTATAAAAGTTTTTAAAAAATATATTTTTCAAAAATTGAAATCTTATCCCCAAAATCCCACTTTCCAACTCTAAATCCTAAATCCTAAAACCTAAATTCTAAACCCTAAACTCTAAACCCTAAACCCTAAGTCCCACCCTTTAACTCTAAACCCTAATATCTAAATTAATTTATTATTGGGATATAAGTATATATTTATCTCTTTTAATAAAACATTAGGTGTTATTTTGATCATTTTTATTCTTAAGTGTTGTATTTGTGATAAAAAAAATTTAGTGCTATCCAAGTCATTTTCTCTTATAATATTTTGTTCAATCATCAAATCAAATTAATATTTCAAAACTTGTAATAACTTAGTCCATACTTGAACCATATCAACTTCACCCATCAACTGAGAACATTACGCTACAAAGAAATGAAACTTTTAATCCTTGTATGTAGTTGCTTAAGCAATGTCGTCAAATCTTTAATAAAAGTAAAAAGAGAAATTTGAGAACAAACAATAAAGAAAATGGAAAGGCAACATCTTAGAGGTGAAGAAAAGTACCAAATCCAAATTGCTGCGTGGGGAGAGTCAGGTTCCTATTTGAAAACTTTAATATTGTTTTATTTCTTTTCGTATAATTAAGGGGAATGTCATACTAAACATAAATGTACAATAAAACAATAATATTTTCAAATATTAATCTATGTTTTATTTTATTTTCAAGTTAGTGGACGCAATTTCCCTTCAAAGTTTTATAGATCAGTTTTACTCAATATTCTAGAAATCCATTTTGTCAACCTTAAAGGTATATACGTAGTATATTTTTAATCAGACAAGTTTGTTTTTATACCATAGAAAAAATGACTATAATAGCATTAAAAAAGTTTTTCTCACAAATATAGCACTCAAAAATAAAAATTATCAAAATAGCACTTAATGTTTTATTAAAAGAGATAAATATACACCTATATCCCAATGATAAATTAATTTATACATTAGGATTTAGAGTTAACGGGTGAGATTTAGGGTTTAGGGTTTAGAATTCAGAGTTTAGGGTTTAGGGTTTAGAATTTAGGTTTTTTAGGATTTAGAGTTAGGGAGTGAAGTTTTGGGGATAAGATTTCAATTTTTGAAAAATAAAAAAAATTAAAATTTTCAAAAGATAAAATACTTGGTTATTTTAGTTTCTGAGGACTATTTTGGTAACATAAACTTAGAAATGTGTTATTTTGGAGATTTGTCCTATACAATATTCCCGGGACTATAAGCGATCTTTCCACAAGTTATATTATTCTCAAACATAGCCTTGCATTCAAATTCAGCAGAAATAGTTCCATCCAACAGATGAAAATAAATGCATTTCCTTAACGTTGTAACAATATCGTTGTTCTTTTTTAAAGCAAAACGAAGTGTAACTTTATTTCTAGTGTATAAAAGATTATATTATATAGGAAAAAGAAGTAGACATAAATGCTATTTGTAAAATTCAAAGTCTGATGCTGGAAAGTTGAAGGCAAAAAAAATACAACAACTTTTGTTTGGCGGACTTTGTGATCTTTATTAATCGAAGGGAGAAAAGAAGAATTAAAAGGCAAAACCACCAGTCCAAAGATAAAGAAATAACAATAGTATAACTAGCATAATTGAAAATAAAGAAGTGAGAGTAGAAAATTGAATCAGACCAACATCTCATAACTTACTCGTTAAGTCAGCTCTCTCTCAAATTTCTAAGTTGGGATAGACTTGGACACTCTTTCAATTTCACTATTGTTTTCTGAATATACTTTAAATTTTTGTTATTTCTTAATCATTGCTTATGCATGTTTTACTATAACATTCATTGTTTGAAAAATATGTCATTCCGACATTTTATCTCCCATGCGAAATTGTATAGACAAAGAAATGTCTAATTTCTAGCCGTATGTATATGTTTTCTTTTCCACCTATTTGTATAAAAGGACTTTTGATCTGTAAACTTTTTGCACGTAAAAGAATTGGGGTTACAATCGTTTTTTATGTAAATTCATGTTTTTGACAAGCAAAGTCATTCCGACATTAGTATATATATCTTTCTCATGCTCGAGAATTAAGAAAATTATACTGATCCCATGATGTCTTACAGTAGGATCTATATATATACGTGATCCAAAACATTTACGTTTCTTCTTCTGATCTTTGATGTAATATTTTATTAGTTTATATACAAATATATATATCTTCAAATGCTTTTTCAATTGTTGGTCAATGTTAGGTAATGTGCTCGTATACCAGTTTCTGATTGTACTGCGGTAACAAATAACAACGTGAGGAAAAAACTTGATTACTTTTTTGACGGAGAAAGAAATCTCTTGAATTAATTGTAAAGTATTTAAAGGAAAAGTAATCCGCTTTTGCTGAACTAAAGGTGATATTCATATAAGTATATAAACAACATAAACCAAACACAAAAACATATCGATAAGTACGGATGGACATCTCTACGCAGAGATTTGCCATGAACGGAAGAAGTATGAGACTACCTCCTGGGTTTCGATTCGATCCGGATGATGAAGATCTTGTATTCGAGTATCTAGCCAAGAAGGTCCTCCACCGTTCGATGGACTTCGACCTCCCTGAGCTCCGTTCTTGCAATGTTGATCCTTGGGACTTGCTAGGTTTTCTCACAACTATTCTCTCTAGAGACTATATACTAGCTACGTCATATTAAATGTATTGATAAATGTGGTCTAAAAATGTTGTACAAATACAATATTGTAGGAGATAAGAACAAGGAAATGTATTACTTTGTGAAGAAGGATGAGCGAGAGAGAAAGGGAAGGGGTACGTTATCGGGTTACTGGGAAGAATGTGAAGAAGAGGAAGTAATGGAATCTGGCGACCGTGGCTGTAATCATTTAGAAGGAAGGAAAAAGACATTTGCTTTCTATATTGGGACAAGACCTCGAGGAACACTAACTCCATGGATAATGTACGAGTTTCGGCTTCTTTCCTCTAGGGCTACAATGTGGTCATCGTCCCCTCTGCCTCGGGTAATCCATTAGCCCGTTAGAACGAACAAATAGAACAAGCTTTATCCTCTTATGTATTATTTCGTTGTCATAAGTTTCGAGCAATTGTATTAATGTTCTGATAGTTTTGGTTAATATTTTGGGGGTTAAGGGTGAGGTAGAGAACTGGAGGGCGGTGAAAGTGATTGTGAAGGAAGAGAATGACGAGGAGATCGAGGAAGATGAGCAGGCCTCTGATGAGTCAGATGGCGAAGAAGTTGTTCAAAGTCGGTGACGGCTGATCGAGGTTCATGCCATATATGTTATGTACGAAAATGGTTTTGTAAGTGAAATCATTTGAGTTAAGTTAGTAACTTCGTTTTGATATTATTAGGGAAGCATCTAGATGAAACACAAGGTTGTTTAATTTGTCTTATTGGCTTCCAAACCCTTTGGACTGTAATATATTCTTATTTGGCTTTCACTCTCCCGTCTTATTTATTCTTCTCTCAATATATATTTTATTATCTGCTGTCCTTTCGTCAGTACATTGGTTTCTTTTGTATTCCATATTCCTGAATCCAAGATCCGTGAAATTTATACATGGTTAGGTCATGGGGCTCACTGGCTAACTATGTTTGGGTTTCAATAAGATTTGAAGTATTTTCTTTGTTTCATTTTACTTGATGTTAAAGGTTAATTCACAAAGATTAAGAATATGCCAATTTCTATAAAATTTATTTTGGTTACATAAAATGTCATTAAATAAATTAATTCAATCCATAAAAATTGTAGTATTTTAATTGGTCAAAAAGTCAAACCATATTAAATTTTTATCTATAATAATGAGAAAATCACTTAAATTTGCAACAACAACAAAAATTTAAAAATCAAATAAACTGAAACAAAGTGTTGTAAAATTAAGAGGGAATGGTTGTGTTGTGTTGTCTATTGATCATAAAACATATGTGCCTTTATATATGAGATTACAAGATAGATAAATCATACAAATCATAATCCCACATGGAAAAGGAAAGTGGTTTATGGCAATCCACAATATGGTTTATAACACTCCCCCTTGGATGCCATAACCATTACAACTTGTAATACGCTTTGGATGTTGGCTCATTAAAACCTTTCAAGGAAAAATCCAAAACCCAATGGAACAAAATCCGGGTAAAACCATAGATAAGGAAAAAGAGTACAACGCGTATTACTCCCCCTGTTTTTAACCTCACTGAAGATCTTAAGCCGACGCATTCCTATCTGATGCGTAAGCTTCTTGAATGTAAAGGTTGGAAGTGACTTGGTGAATAGGTCTGCTGAATTATCATTTGAACGTACTTGAAGTACCTCTCTTGTCTTTTGGAACTCGTTGGTGAAGAAACTTGGGCAGAATATGTTACTTAGCTGTTGACCATCCCATACTCTGATCGGATAGGTTTAGGTCATTGACCTCGACCAAATATACTCACGATCACTCCCTTCGGCCATTATGGTTTATGCCGCATGAATAGCTGAGACATTGCAGTCTGATGTTGCTGCCAAGATATGGCTCAAGGACAATGGCGTGCTTTGATGATGTTGCTGCTATGTCCTCATACATTGCTGTTGGTTCCCCTTTGCCGTTTGACATACCACAGTACACATGCATATAAAATATAACCTGTCTAAGATCTGACAGATAACCTGTATCAATAAAACCAATTAGCCACTCTTTGGGCTGGTTAATATAAAATAAACTATGATCACAAAACCATGATTGTCGAATTTCTATATATACATGGACTGATTGGGTTATTCTTATAGCCCTTTTCACTAAGTATTCACATAGTCTATTATACTATATACAACTGCTTTGTTTCAGTTCATAAATAGATTTGCTCAGCTTTATTCAATGTTGTTTTCTTATCTTTGAGCTCAATACCTTCTAGTACTTTCATGTATATCTCATTATCCAGTGGACCATATAAGTATGCAGTTACTACATCCATTAGATGAAAATATAATTTCTCTCTTATAGCCAGACTTATTAAAACTCGAAATGTAGTATCATCCTCCACAAAGGAGTATATCACCTCATAATCTATTCCCAGCTGATCTCTGTGAGAATCCTTGTGCAACAAGCCGTGCTTGAATGATGTAAGTAGAAACATAGACAACTAGACCATGTGATTTTATGTACTACATGTCACGATTTCTCCTTTCATTTCTCTTCATCACAAAGATCCATTTATATTCCACTGGTTTTATATCATAGGGCGTTCTAATTATAAGGCCAAATATGCCACCTTTCTTAGATTATTTAACCCACGTTTTTATCTAATCCAATCTGTTCTACAAGTGCACACTCTTATATTTACGTGGGTTCATGATCCTCGCTTATATCCATAAGTTCAAGTGCTACCTTATTGATATCACTCAAATTACCCTAAGGAGTGAATTACTCTCATCGAAAGAGGTTCAATTGTAGTACTTAGGGATCGAATCCACAGAGACTCTAGGATTACACAACAGGTTATTTAGTTTTCAAAATAAAGCTAGATAGCAAGTATTAAACAGTAACTTAAAAGGTGAGCAGTGATTACTCGATTGATTGATTGGTTTTCTAAGAGGAAAGAAGGTAGTTAAACTTAGGTATTTTCTCAGGTATGAAAAACATGCAAGTTGTAAAGGGTTTTTATTGTTCATAGTTCAAGATTCACACTTTTGGAGGTTTTAAACCTAAAGGATTAACTCACACTGGCCTCAGGTCAACAACTATCGTCCGATGACCCTTGAGAAGGTATCGATTGATATTCTATCGAATCATCGATCGTTGTCTCTTTGCCATATCGGTCGACAAGACTGTCACCTCTTCGATCGATATTGACTCCAGCGAGTTTCGATAACAAGTTTGGAATGATTCTCTAGTCTTCACTAAATTTACTTAGATTTCAGGCAACTGCCAAGTTATCACTTGTCCATATTGATCCTAAAATCAGAGATAAGGGTGATCAATCCTTATCACTAGCATTTATGATGACTAAATGAAGAACTATATTTTAAACACCCTAGTAATGGTTTATTCAATGCATGAGTCAACCTTAATGAGACACCTAAATCTAACAAGAGAGACTACTCAAACATATTCATGAGAGACAAAGTCATAATGGTTTGAATAATGCTCAAAAGATAGTAGTAGTAAGAGAAACAGTAAAGAAAATAAGTAAAGCAAAAGAGTTCAAGATCTTCTCTGGAATTGCAGTTCAGATCTCTCTCTCTACTCCTAAGCTCTTCTCAAAGTGTAGCAATGCTTCCCTCTAAAATTAGGTCTAAAGAGATCTCTCTCTGGAAGTCTGTCTAAACTAGTACAAAACCCTCATATTATAGCCTAACAGGCGGCCAGGGACTTAAAGTGTAATTATTAAAACTCTTGTGAAGCAATTAGGGCTTCTAATCTTTATTTAATGGCTTGGACGACTTCTGTATTGATCGATGGTTGATGTCTTCAATCAATCGATATTGGTAATGTTTCATCGGTCGATTGTTCTCAACGTGCATCGGTCGATATCTTTAACATCGTTTTGCTCATATCTTCTTAAAGTCTTCATTTTGGCTCCATAATAGCTAGTTTACACCAATGAGTACCTGAACCTGTAAAAACTCTAAAAATACACTAGAAGTATCCTTTTGTTTCCAAAAACATATATAAATCATGGTTGAAAGTGGGTAAAATCCATGATATATCAACTCCCCTAGACTTATCCTTTTACTTGTCCTCAAGCAAATAATAGGACATTGGTCTAGAAAAGGTTTAAAAGGCGGAAACTCTTATAATTCTTAACCTAGAACCATCACCTCTTTACTTATTGGAAGCCACTTCAGCTATCCATCAATCTTAGGGGTACACTATGCCATATCCTAGCTTAGTAACCAAAATCATCTAGCCAATCAACTTAGCAATCCTGTTTTTCTATCCCCTCTACTGATTTCATTTATGCATAAAAGTGAAGGCTTTACCTTGGGAGTATCGATCAAGGAACGCTTAGATTCAACTCAAACAAGTTTCATGCATTCCCATTCTGGCTTCTTTTCTCCCTATATCTCGTTTCTCTGAATCCCAATTTTTTTTTTTTCATATCAATCCCAATGAACAACAAATGTTCATCTTATTGATCTTTCTACTATTTGTACTCTTTTCCGTCAAAGTGTTGGCGAATAGTGGTGCTAAGAAGTGGTTAGGTAACAAGTCTGAATAAATATAATCATTGCTCATTTCATAGTAAAACACATTTTTTTTTTTAATAAAAGGGAAATGAAGAAATGAAAAATGAAATGAAGAATGTTAATAGATACCCCCCCCCAGTATTAAACAACACTATCCCCAGTGTTATTTTGTCTTAGAGGAAAGATTAAAATTTAATGTAGAAAATATAGTCATATTAGTAGGAAAAATCGTACCTCGACCCTTTACACATCGATCGATGTGTCTGTTAAGACATCCAACGATGTAAGGTTACCTTGTCGATCGACATAAATCAGGTTACGTCGATCGATATGGAGTGCCTTCACCTATCGTGCTGTCAATCGTCGAACTCAACATCTATGAGTTATGTATTTATATGTTAGCTCTGTTAGACATTCTCAAAACACACGAATAGTTAGATAATAATAATATCAGACATAGTCATAAAAAGGTACGAATAAAAATCCTACAAGTCTGAAATAAGGGTAATAGCATAATAGTGCAAGATAAGGGATAGAAATGAGCAAGTGAATCAGTCGTCACTGCTCTCGTCGTCGTCTCCATCGTCCTGACGGTACTGGTGAGATGGACCTCTTGCCGAGGGGTCGAAGGCTGAAGTACTCGCTCTGCTCGAATAGTGGCATCTCGCGACGCGGGACCAGATGGCACGAAGAGCATCCAACACTCCTGTCCTGAAAACTCTCTCATCTCTTGTGTCTATCTCTGAGAGATAGTGGAACTGGATCGGGGGTGCTGCTGATGAAGCTCAAGAAGTAGCGGTGCTGTGGACTCCTGTATCTTGGCGTGATGCAGGTGGGTCGAGGATGAGGCGTGCATCTGGCTGGAACCTAAGCCTGTCGATGGACGATGCGAAGTCAGTCGTCTCCCGGTGAGGCAGAAGGAATCGGTGTGTACCAGCTGCAGTCCTGAAAGTCCAGTGCAGCTGCCTGTCTAACCACTGGCTGTTGCGCAGATGAGCTGCGTCCAGGTAGGCCCGGGAAGTGACTACGCTGCCCTCGTCAAAGCGGATCCCACAGTACTGGAAGATCGGCGTCAGCAGACTCCCTACGGTCTCCTTCTTCTTCCCTCCTCTACCGAAAAAAGGCTTGGTCTTCAGGCTGACTAGATACTCAGCGAAAACGGCACCTAGGTTAGGCATGATCAGCTCGTGGTCCGGGTCCAAGTGAGTCAGGTCTACCAGTCCGTCAAGTGCATGGTAGAGGAGTGTAAGCTCGTGGATCCTCACCTTGTTCGGCTCCATCTTGCAAAGCAGAGTGGCGGAAAGGATCTGCATGAAGTACTGGAGAGTGGGATGGAGGATGTCGGTCTGAATAACCGTGGCTGAACTCCAGGGACCTGTGCCAAAGATCTGCCAAAACTCCTGAACCTT